TAGTGGGATCAGGGGTGGTTCCAGTGGCGTGGGATCGCGACACATGGGCAACCGAGGACGATCTCGGGTGCAGGGTGGTCGAGGACGGTATGTTTTCAGGCGAGACGATAGCGAGAGGCTTGGCGGCAAGCGCTAAAATAACTCGAACGTGTGCTAAAAGCGGCGGCTACCGGAGCGCCGGCCTTGCTACGGCAAGCTTCAAGAGGTGTCGCTCTCTCTTACCCTGCCGATCGACCAGAACCCCGGCCAATGGAGTTTCTATAAAAATGCTCGAAATAATGATTCGCGCGTGTCCCGCGCGAGGAAAATGGTGGAAAGGCAGGAAGAGGGAGAGCGTGAGAAAGATTTCTCGATGTACGATGGGACTATTTTTACGGGAGGCTACGGTGGCGAGGTGGAGGCTCGAGAAACGTTCCTCATGCCACGCCGGTGTATTTTCAGAGTAACTCCGTTACGTCACGAAGAGACGTCGAAGATGGTCGAGGAAGGAGGTGGAGAAGCCTGGTTTCTCGATGGGAATCGAGAGATAGGGATCAGGATAAGATCTGGATCGGCTTGGACCTCCTCATCTCCTGTGTCTTCGCGAAATCGACTAGTTGCCTCTAGAATCTCTGACAGAGACTCGACACGAGATGACGGGACACGGAATGGGACAGGCGAGAAGACGTGGAAGACAATGGGGATTAAGGTTAATAAGGGGCGATGATTAACAGCAACGACTGATTCGCGTGATCTCCACTTGGCACTGGGGACAGTGCGAGCAGCTTCGACGTGGATGGTTGCTGTTGGTTATTTCGTCCGTCTTCTAGCGTGTTAGCTATTACGTCAGACGGTATTATGAAAACGTGATTCAGGGGAGTGTCGCGAGAGGAACGCGGCTTACGTGAGGGACACGACACACGTACACACGCCGGGAACAGGTTGTCAAGAGAGAGGAGGAGGAGGTAAGCGAGTGACATGCTGTCTTCGAAAGGCTTTAGCCCTTATTGGACCAGATGTCGGTTATCTTTGCGCGTACCACTTCGTCCGTCATGCTCTACTTTGCCGTTTTTCCGCGCCAGTGACTCTCACTGTCCATCCTCCTCCCTTTTGCCGGCCATTTATGGTGGATGGCCAACAGAGGATCTCGAAATTCAAGGTAGCGAGCAGGTTGACATGACAGAGAAGAATCTGAATCGCCAAGTTGGTATTTAATTTCCTGTCCATATGAACGATCGATATATTTGATTAATCAGAAAAATGATCGAGCAACGTATAAGTAATTGGTTAAACCTAACCTCAAAACCCTAACCTCAAACTTTACTTCTTTAGTTATTCCAACTGTCAGTGCTAAGTAAATTTTCTTCCGCCATGTTGCGACGAATTGTCCGAACCTAACCTCAAAGTTCAAGTCTCCAACTTCTCTTCGTTAATTATTCCATCTGTCAGTGTTAATTAAATTTTACATTTTTTATGAGAATTAACCACCGATCTCGATCGTCTCCTCGTTACAAGAGGACGACTAACATCGATGGAATTAAACGAACGCCTGGCAAAGCGTCTCGATACGCCACGATCTTCACTCGTTCGCATCGGTTTGCGTCACGACGCTGAGTCAGTGGCCGCCGCATTTCCTGCATCGGAGAGATAAAATCCCAGATAGACAGACTTCTTAAGTTCCCTTCGGCTCCCAGCGAGTCGTAACCCTATCTTCGACTCGAGTTCTCGCGGGAGGGAGACTCGTTTACCCTCCGCTTCCGGTTTCGCTGCGTGTCTACGCCAGTTAATCGATTTCAACACCCGTCTCCCGACTTTCGATTTACGTACACCTTTTCATTCGCGTTCTTCGTACCTCGTTTCCTCCTCTTTCGAGTTATCGCAAGTTCGCGTATCCTCCCAGTTCCCCCTTTGAAACTTGGACTTTGCGGTCGTGTACGCGTTGCGCCAACTATTCTCACGTACTCTGTTTATATCCCCCGTTTCGATGCTTCGATACAGCCTTTACGAGCTATACCGAGGCAACCGTGGCTTCTATATTTACGCCTGCAACTACAATTTTAAACGATTCCGTGATTAATGCCTTCGTCAAACTTCCATTGCACCGAGCCATTCGTAAGCGTCTAAATTTACTATTTCGCAGCCAGAGTGTCAACGGAGGGGTACCGCGATCTCTTCGAACAGTGTCGAAATCGATAGCCCGATCGATCGATCATCCTGTCAGTCGGTGAGAAAAATCCGGCGAATTTCGCAATCGGGACTACCATTTACCCCGACGAGTATCGTGGATGCGTTACGTGCTAGAAACCGCAAGCAACTTTGCGTGTTCATATCCCGATCAACGTTTCATTGTGCCAAGGTGTACCCGGCGTCTATATTTACTGTATCCAAAAATTTATAGAGATCAACATCTTGTTCGACGTCTCTTATTACAACCCCTATCCCAGGAATACCGCGGTTTTCTCGTTGTTCTTCGCGGTGTTGCGTTCGTTAAAAATAACGAACGGTGACGCAACGAAACAACGAATCTCCGAGGAAACAACGATGCACATAGCTCGGTGGGATCACACTCAGACCTCTTGCACCAATTATCACACGCCCGCAGACGCTCGCGAAGGCTCGCGTTTACCTCGAGACGGCTTGTCCTACTCAGTCGACCGGCCACTTGGCAAAGGGACTGAATTTAATACCTGTTAATTGTCATGCGAGCGCGATCCGCGTGCATAACGTGTATATTACCGTGATCATATGTATATACCGTCTCGCGTTTCATTAACGTCGTGTCTGGTCGAATGAAATTTTCGGGCATCTTTCACGGGCCATTTTTGACATTTTTGCGAACGAGATGGAACCCTCGGTTCTTCGTCGTGGTCGCCGAGTAACGTGATTGGGGAATCACGATTTTTCCCAGTTTCCTTTGAGTTTCGTTGAAGAGTGTGAGCATCGAGTCGTGCATCCTGAAGAGTCCGCGAGGAAAGAAGAGTCGAGCGAGGAGAGCCGAGACTGGCGACTTCGACGAGAAACAGAGGCGTCAATCTCCTGCCGGGAGATTTATTTATAACACGCGAACGCGCGTCCCCGCCTTGGTACATTAAACCGTGCCCGTATTGACGTCTCACTTGTCGTCTTTTGCACGCAAAACGATCTCAATGACGAATCGCGTGCTGCAGTTCTGGCTTTCATCGACACCCACTACGGCACCGCCACGGATTATGTAATTTCTTAAAGAAGGAGACGAAGAGGACGAAGAACGTGGAAGGGTAGACGAGCCTCCTCGCAGCCAAGAAAATTCTGCAAAATTCTACGAGTATTCGTCAAACGTCTCGACGAATGTTGTCAGTCCGTAGGAACATAACAGATCGCGTTTCTTCGATAATCATCATTCCAAAAAATCATCCTCGACGTCCAAAGATTCGACGATCTCGAGGAGTTGTGACGTTTCGAGTAACCTCGATTAATCTGCCGTGAGAAAACATCGTGCTATTGTTACGCAGTCGCTTAAATTAGCGTAATTCCGCGAAGAATTCGGTTTCTAACCCAGATTTCTTTTAGAAGACGAAAAAGTTGGAAGGCAGTGTGAGAGGACCGAGAGCCAGCTTCGCGGCAGAGTCGCTGAACCGAGAGGAATGCAAGAGTCAAAATGGATGGAGAGAGAGAGAGGGAGGGAGAGAGGGAGAGAGCAAGAGGGATGGAGCACTCGGCACGAGGTACCCCGAAGAATTCGCTGGCTGTACGAGAAGCAAAAGGGCTCGGGCTATAAACGGGTTATGTAAGATGGAGTAGCTGCCACGTGTCGGCGGACGTCGCGTTGATTCTGCATTTCCTGCATTCACTTTCGCAACCACGACTATGATGCGTTTCCAAAAGTCGAGAACGTCGAACTGCCAATTTTCGAGCTGAGGAATTCGCGACTCTCGGTCGACTTTTAGTCCATGGAGGGTAAAGTTCTTGACAACGTCCTCGAGGAACAGCGCTGGCTTCGAAATATTCCTCCATCGAATGTTTTATACGTATAGTTTTTTAATATCGATCAAAATTGAGGCAAGGTTTCCTCGTTTATCAATTTTCGAAGATAAGGTCCTGGATTATTATGGACAAGCGTAAGACAACATGTGTTTGCAGCGAAATAATAAATTTACAGATAGCACGTTAAGGTCAGATCGATAAGGCTAGTCGTTGTAGATACAGGGTAAACAGTAATTTTCCAATCACCTGGCAAATCTCTTCTGATTAATATACACTTCTCTTGATCTCTTTCAAAGGAGGATCAAAATAATCCTAGCAATCCTTGAATCCCTCCCTGAACCGTCCCCTAAGCGAACAACATTCGATATGATCCCAAAATACAGAACCAGAAGAAGAGCCAGCATCGCCAAAACTTTTCCAAGACCTCAACAAATACCTACGATCGAATCAACCTGAAAATTAATCTTATCGTGAAACAATTAAACCTACCTAGAACCCCTATCGTCATAACCACCTCGAACCACCCCCTCTTAAAACCTCTGGCATTAGAAAAAGACCCAAAAAATCGAGAATCTGAACGAGAACCCCTATCATTATCGTCAACTTCACCCCCGTTCCAAGGTAAAAGATTCAAGATCTTCCCCAAAACTTTCGCCACAAGCAAGCTGAAAATCGAGTAACCAAACGATAGTACCCAAGATTGAACAAGAACCTGGACGTGGTCACCATCTTAATCCACTCCCTCTCCAAACTTCTGCCATTGGAAAAAGACCCAAAGAATAGAGAAGCTGAACGAGAACCTCTATCATCATCGTCATCTTCATCCACCCTCTTCCTAAGGTAAAAGACTCAAGGTCTTCCCCAAAACATTCCTCCACAAGTAAGCTGAAAATCGAGTAATCAAACGATAGAACCGAACAAGAACCTGTTCATCGTCACCATCTTGATCCACCCCCTTGCCAAAGTGGAAAACCCGAGGTCCACCTCGAAGCTTCCGCCATTAGAGGATAGCGAGCGAACGCGGGACGTTGACGATCTCCCGATGGGGGAACACTTACACCAGTACACGGCAACAAAGTCCTTCTCGTTGAGGAGCCGCTCGAGCTGTTTGGCATTGACTTCCTCGATGACAGGCTCGGCGTCCTTGTGGCCTCCCTTGGGCCGGGGCTCGTCCGATTTCGTCCTCGAGACGGCGTCCACGGTGCCCAGAAGGGCGCATAACAACGCGACCACACCGAGAAGGACGATCGTCTTCGCGTATCCCGTAGGCATCGTCGTTGGCCCGCAGGTAGTACTCCTCCTTCGTCTCCGCCAGCACCACCACCACCGGCCGAACCGTACCGTCGAAACGTCGTTCGCCGTCGACATCGCCGCACTGACTGGCACACCGGCTATTTTTGATTTTTCGGACAGCGCCGCGAGAGACCGACGACGACGGCCACGCCACGACGTTCGTCGTCGCCGTTTTCAGCTTCCTCGCGCTACCCCCTGGCGCGACCGACCAGGAGGACCTCGGCTGGCTGCCGTGGGCCAGCGAGACCTTTCTTCTCGCGTCTGCTCCACTCCTCGGGGTTCTTTCGAGTGTCTGTCATGCTTTACGATTTTCCCATTCGTTGCCTGTCATGTACATGGGGATTCTCCGTGTTTGTTGATCCTCGAGTATTTCTGACGGAACGGTCCTGCCTTCAGATTAGGGTTTCGTTGCGTTTCGGGATAGTGAGAATATTCCACGACAGTTTCTCTGACTTTGGAAGATTTAATTTGGTATTTCTCCGATTTTGGGAGGAACTATGATGATTGGTACTCCTCTGGTTTTGAAAGATGTCGCAAAAATTGCTTTCATTCGTGAAAATTCAAGATATATAAGACATATCTGAATATTTTTCTCGCTATTCCAAGTTTCTATTACGCCAAGTTTCCAATACACTTGGAAAAATGAGGACTCTGATAATTCGTGGAAGTATAATTGTCGATAGTATAATAACTGCAATGATTGTTAAGAGGAAGCGTAGATTCGGTAGAACAGTGGAGGGTCTGATATACTCGTGGGCTTTAAAGTTTCCCATGAAGTTTCTCCTCCTTTGGAAGGAACTATGATAATTGGTATTCCTTTGGTTTTGAAAGATGTCGCAAAAATTGCTTTCATTCGTGAAAATTCAAGATATATAAGACATATCTGAATATTTTTCTCGCTATTCCAAGTTTCTATTACGCCAAGTAAATGAGTATTCTGATAATTCGTGCAAGTATAATTGTCGGTAGTATAATAACTGCAATGATTGTTAAGAGGAAGCGTAGATTTGGTAGAACAGTGGAGGGTCTGATATATTCGTGGGCTTTAAAGTTTCCCATGAAGTTTTTCCTCCTTTGGAAGGAACTATGATGATTGGTATTCCTCTGGTTTTGAAAGATGTCGCAAAAATTGCTTTCATTCGTGAAAATTCAAGATATATAAGACATATCTGAATATTTTTCTCGCTATTCCAAGTTTCTATTACGCCAAGTTTCAAATACACTTGGAAAAATGAGTATTCTGATAATTCGTGGAATTATAATTGCTGTAGTATAAGTGATTGTTAAGAGGAAGCGTAGATTCGGTAGAACAGTGGAAGGTCTGATATACTCGTGGGCTTTAAACTTTCCCATGAAGAAGCTTGTGGTTTCCGTGTAGACGTCTTGATTGCACGTGGAGGTGTGGTCGAATAAACCAGTTTCCATTGTAAATGGTGTTGAAATTCAATTCGCACTAAGACGATCCTCGAACGAGCAGTAAATGTTCCTCAGCTTGTTTGATAATCTTGGATCAAAGCAGGCGACTTTTTAAAGACATTCTGCCCAACGTTAACACACGAATAAACCGGTAGCTGAACTCTAACGAGGTAGAAAAATAAAAACGAGATAAATATTTACAGAAAGACACGTTACAGATGTGCATAGCCACTTTTAATAATAGCAACACCGTGGAAAACACGCAGTCGGAAATCAGAAATACGTGTGTTATAAAAAGGCACGTTTACTCTGGTCTTCAAGAGGCAGAAAATTTTTCTCTGTTTTTCCAAAAACAATTTATTTAAAACCCATATACTTCTATCTAAATTTTTTAATAGAATTAATTCAGTCTTTATGTTCCAAATTCCTTCTCCCATTTCCCTTTTGTTATTATATATATAATATATATGTATAATTTTTTCCTAGTTAAAAGTAACGAAATATACCGTAAATAGATTAAACGAAAAGAAAATAACCACGTTATCTAAGAAAATTGATCCGGATTTAATCGTTTCTTGTTCCACATTGAATCTACGAAGCGATTTTTCGATTTTGTCGGAAATTTTTCGGACAGTCGAAAAGTCACGATGATATTTTAGGTTCCAGCGTTACGTGGCGCACACTATACGGCAATATATATGTAGTATATATGTATGCTAGTACGAGGATCATGCTAGGACAGGTAGTTGATCAGTGGCTTCGGTGCAGGACGGTATACCATGACGGCCGCCGATCGAAAGTCGCGAATTGCCATCGTGGGGGGTGGTTTGGTGCGTGTTTCGTTGCTAAATAAGTATTTCGTGTTCAGAAACGCTATTTCCCAATTTTGATAAAATTAAAAATTCGAAAATATTTATTAAAAGAGAGATTGATACAGTGAATCTTCCATCTTGCAGGTCGGTGCACTGGCAGCTTGCTTCTTCGCGAAGAGGGGCCATTCCGTGACCATTTACGAGTATCGCGGAGGTGAATATTTAACAAATTTTCTTGATTATTCGAATCTTCGTGTGCATATCCCTTTGTGGCATTTTTAAAACTCTAGGTCAATGCATTAATTGGTACTTTACACCGAGCAGAAGTTGCAATTTCTTTTCCTGTATACAACGAGGTTTTTAATAGATCGAGGAGCTTTTTATATTCCTCTGCATTTTTCTTCTGCTCTTTTCTTGTTTTTAAACGACAGGTTATTTTAGTAGATGCCGCTGCGAGGCATTGAAATCTCTTTATGTATTCTCTCATACTCGCCTTTATGACAATAGAATATAACGCTTCGGGTATTATTTGATTTTTATTTTTGGACGAGATAATGTGCACGTAAAAATAGAGACTTTGTGATCGCGATTTAGACATCAGAGTGGAGGATTCTCGAGGCCAAAGCATCGACTTGGCTCTGTCGAGCAGAGGACGCGAGGCTTTAAGGGCAGTTGGCCTGGAGGAGGCTATAGTCGATCGTCATGGCATCGCCATGCGTGGCAGAATGATCCACAACAAGGATGGCACCCTCAAGGAAATAATTTACGACAGCGTGAAGGGAAACGTGAGTAATTTTTCGAAAATTTCATCTTTTCTTTCCTCTTAAGAAAAATAAAAAAGAAAATACTTAGAAATTTCTATAATTTTAAATGACAACAATTGCTTTTGGACATTTCTGCTATCTTCTGTTATCTTATTTATAGTGCATTTATTCCGTCAGCAGACGATATTTAAATATGGTTCTACTGAATGGTAAGTAGAATTTATTATACTAATTATATCCTTAAAATCTTCCTTTATAATTCGATCCTAAATAAAATCATCGGAGCCATTATTCCGTAACTTATTGTTTACTGAAAGAAGTTTACAGCAGGCTGTCTTAATAAATCTGCATCCCGATTAAAAAAGAAACACGAACGAACACGAGATGCATTCGCGTTAAAAAAAAAAGGGAAAGAAAAATGGCCATTGAATATCCGATGACGCGGTAGTGCGTGAAGCCACAAGAATTCGAGCGTGTCGTGTTTCTTGCTACCAGCTAGCCTATGTTTCTTACGATCTTCTGCTCGATACGCGTACGCCCCAGTGCCATTTTAATCCGGTATATACCTACTTACGCATAAAAATTTCGATACGGGCTGATACATGCGTGCACGCGGCTATCTCCGAACGATCTATAAAATTTCAACGCGATCGAGGAGGCATTAGACAAATCTTTTCCGAGATATTCTTACCCCGATCCCATTTCGTGAAAATTCTTCGACGAAATGCCACGTGAGATTCCTCTGCCATCCAATTAACAGAGGATTAAAAAAAAGAAAAAATTAAATTTCCTATAAATTCGATACATACGTGCAAACAGGTATCTCCAAATGATCTATAAAATTTCAACGCGATCGAGGAGGCATTAGACAAATCTTTTCCGAGATATTCTTACCCCCATCCCATTTCGTGAAAATTCTTCGACGAAATGCCACGTGAGATTCCTCTGCCATCCAATTAACGGAGGATTGAGAAAAGAAAAAATTTAATTTCCCATAAATCGAAGTTTCCTATAAATTCGGTATTTATGTCGAATAATTTTATCGCAACTTTATACTACGAATTAAACAGGCGCCGAGAAGTACTCCGACGTGAACCTCTGCTTCAACAAGAAAGTCGTGGCCGCGGACCTAGACACCGGCAAGCTGAAGATCTTGGAGTGAGAATCACGAATTAAGAAATTATGAAACAATCGCGAAGACTTGTTCGTATTGCTTCTGTCGAATTTCCAGCACGAGGACCGAAACGATAGAGGAAGTGGAAGCTGATTTGATAATCGGCGCTGATGGTGCATACTCGACCGTCAGGAGAATAATAGCGAAGAGGCCGCTGTTCAACTGCAGTCAGACCTACATCGAGCACGGTTACGTGGAATTATTCGTCCCCGCAGGGAAGAACAACGAGGTAAGCTCGTATTTTTCTCCGAGATTTCAACGATCTTCGAAATTTCGCGGATATTCTCTGAAACAGCCTTCGATACCAACTATGATGGCCTGGAAAGAAAAATAAACGCGATAGATTATTGCTCGATGTTCCATGCCAGGTTATTTTTATTTTTCGTCTTTGTGCGAGATTATTTTTACCTACCTCGACGGTGAAGCGGGTATTATTAATTTTTGTTTGCCCATTGCTGCACGCCCACTTGCCTATGTATCAAAGCTTGCTCTGGATTTCAAGTACGCTATGAGCGGCCAGCATCTTCATATTTGGCCACGGGGTGAATTCATGATGATAGCTTTACCCAACGATGATAATACATTCACGGGCAACATATTCGCCCCCTTCTCGACGTTGGACAAGCTGAAGACGCCGCAGGAGCTCTTGGACTTTTATCAGGAACAGTTCCCGGATCTTCTTGAATTAATTGGCAAGGAGAAGTTAGTGAAGGATTTCTTTGAAAGGGAACCGAAGTCGTTGATTTCTATCAAGGTATGTTACCAATACTTCAGTCGTTTTAATACTAAAGAACAGGAGGAAGATATAATCGAGAATTAGTTGGCAAAGAAACTCAAGATATTTTATTAAAATAAATTTCAAAAATTCGGGGCATTTTATTATTAATTAAAAGGGAAAATCTAGTCAAGGATTATTCCGAAAGGAAGCTAAAGGCTATCATTTTTAGGATTTGGAATATTTAATTATTAATTGTAGGGAGAAGCTAAGTCAGAATTATTTTGAAAGAGAAATGAAAATACTGATTACTATTAAAGCAAGTTTCAAAAATTTGGACCATTTTATGTAACTTAAGAATTATCTCGAAAAGACATTAAAGAAATTAATCTCTATTCAGATAAATTCTAAAGAACCCTCTTATGATATTTGAAATAATGGAGAAATATGACTAGACGAGGATTATTCCGAAAAAAGCTAAAGACTATAGTTTTTGGGATTTGGAAAATTTAATTATTAATTGTAGGGAGAAGCTAGGTCAGAATTATTTTGAAAGAGAACTGAAAAATTTGGACCATTTTATGTAAGCTGAGGATTACGCCAAAAAGAAATTAAAGAAATTAATCTCTGTCAAAATAAATTCTAAAGGATCCTCTTACGATATTTAAGGTAATGGAAGAATAACTCGTTCGAAATTCGGGTTTCTTAATTTTTATATCCAAAATGGTCACTTGGGAAACGATAAAGCATAATATAATAAATTATATTTGAGAGAAGTAATGATCTTACACTGCGAAGTAGTGGTTAAACCAATTTTTATTTCTCATACGCATGTTGCAGTGCAAACCTTATCACGTTGGAAAAACCACCCTCCTCGTTGGGGATGCTGCTCACGCTATGGTGCCCTTTTATGCTCAAGGAATGAACGCGGTGAGTCTCACCTGATCGATCCAACGATTTCACGTCTATTTGCTCGTCAGAAAATATCTTTCACGATCTTTCTCGTGTGATTTAGATAGCCTCTATCTAGATAACTCTCTACGAGTCCACGAATAACGTCTACGTCTTTTAAATCATTTTCTTACCTTCTGCAGGGCTTCGAAGACATCTTGCTATTGGACGAGCTAATGGAACAGTACGATTCGGATTTCAGCAAAGTTTTGCCGAAGTTCACGGAACTTCGGTGCGAAGACACCCAGGCTATTTGCGATCTTGCTATGTATAATTACGTCGAGGTAATTGCATGCAATTTTTTCTTGTCAGACTCCTATTCTACTTAAAATTGATTCTCGATCTCTTAAAATTGAAACACCCATGAAATCTGAGGGAAAGGAGAATTTTTCACTGGATTAAACTGAGATTAAAATAAAATTCGAGATAAACGAGAAATGACAGATGATACTTAGAATTGGTAGCTCTAATTATTGTCTGACAAATACACAATGGAATATTAATTATAAAGTAACGATTAGAATGAAATTCCAACGATACGCAGTATTTTAAAACGCATCCCGTTAATATTTTCAGATGAGAGACCTAGTTACGAGGAAGTCGTTCCTTCTACGAAAATATCTAGACACGTTCCTCTACAGGCAGATCCCAAACACTTGGATACCGCTTTACAGCACGGTTCACTTCTCGCGGATGAAGTTCCGCGACTGCATCGCGAACAGGGAATGGCAAGACAAGGTACAATAAAAATACCACGGAGAAACGTAACAATCGTAGGAATTATTGAAAACGTTAGTGAAGAAGACTCATTTTCTTACAGGTGTTACGCAGGACCGCTTTGTGTACAGTGTTCTTGATACTCGCGTTGCTGATGGCGCCTCTCATCGAGGTATTCGCCAGGGAAAGTGTCTTGTATTAAATACAGATATGCAACGTGTACGTCCACGCGAATATGTAAGTGTGTATGCGTCGACTTTGCAATAAAACTAACTGGCTAACGTATACGGTGTCTTTTTGAAAAGATCCTACGAATTCCTCAACCGGTTGACACCGAAGTGCCACTAAAAATGTACAATTCTCCCCCTATCTTTGACACTACTCATGATCGATTGTAAACTGTACTTGAGCAAATCTTGTTTAAGGCACTCACCTTTCTATCACCGCTACATCTACGATCGAATATTCGCTAAAGAACATCGACCAACTATAATAACATACACCTTAATACTATTGGTTCTTCTCTATGGAAACTTCTTAAAGTAACTGACGAATTGACTAAAAAGACATCGCTTGAAAGTGGCACATTCTCGTCTACCCGACACTCTAACGTCTCTAGAGTCACTGGGAACATGATTATCCGCTTGAAGCTAAACTGAGTAAGTAACGTGTTGGTACTCTCAGTAACAGTTTCGAGGATACATAGTGAATCTTGTCTTGGTTCGTATCACTGTACGAGCTCGATGGTCACTGAATCCGCGTTCTCCACGTATTTGTGCTTCTCGTTCTCGAACAAGGCTAACAGATGCTCGATGAACTTCTCGTGGTAGTGGTCGATCTGCTCAGCTGTTGGTTCTTCTATCTTTGGTAAATCCATTGGACTGCCGACTGCAAAAGGAAATCAACTGCGATTAGAATTCCGATTCTTTCCTTTTTTAGATGAAATTTATCGAATAATTCCAATAAACGGAGACCAATAAAACGAATAGGTAAACGTCGATAATATTTGGAATATTTTTGGGAACGTAATTTAAAATACGATGCGAATTAAATTATTATCCCAGAAATGTTTGGTTATTCTATTAATATGGACACAGGGTACTCATCAACGATAGTGTGATCGGTTTAAATTATTATCCCAAAAATTTTGGGTTATTCTATTAATACAGACACAGGATACTCACCAACGACAGTGATCGGTCTCCTCTGTGCAATGATTCCGAAGGAATACTGGAAGAATCCTCGCCCCCTGAGAATAACCGGCGCGATCCCGATCTTCTTGCGAATATAGTGCTGCGTCCTCTTCAGGAGCGAACCCTCCGATCTATACAGCTGATCGTAGACGTCCGTTTCTCCGAACGAGAAAACGGGAACTAGGGGGGCCCTAAAACATGGAGGACGAACGAGTCAGTAGCGACGTTCGTTGACAAGCGTGATGAGAAATTTAATTTCATTTTAAGCACACGCTCGAACAACGACTCGAAGCAAAGTTCGAGGATAGACATTGATAGTGAAGAGAGAATTGTTCGGAGTTCTCGCGAGCTTCTAATTCGATTCAACGTAAACATCAATGGTTCTAACCCATGCTTCAGCGCGATCTTTACGAAGCCTTTTCTCCTTTTTACCAGGATACGATAAGTGCCCGGCTTACATTCCAATGATTCCGACGCTCCACCGACGATCAGAACCGTTGCTCTTCCGGTAAATGGCGGCGGGGGCTTCGTCGATAGCTGATGATTTATGCTTTCCGCGCTGCTGCTGACACCCGCTGTGTTTCAATCGAAATCCAATTAAACGTATGACAGAGATTAGATACGACGGATAGACGGGGGTACAGGATGTCCAATTTGTTACTGATTAGAGTAATCTTGGTCGTTGGAATTATCGTCGTCGAAATTAAAGATGGCTTCGCGAGGGGGGTCGGTATCGTTTCACACTGGAATTACCGATTTTTCTCAAGTTCTTTGATCTATCATTAAAGATCTCTAATATTTCTTTAAAATATTATAATAGTATAAATTATTATAGTATAAAAAGAAAAATGGCTCTAATTCCTGCACTCGTTGGAAAGTGGAATGAACGAATAACTCGAGTGATAATAATTCAAGTAAGAGTAAACGATAATTAGAGAACGGAAATAAATAGGTATAGATAAAAGTCGAAATTAATTTTATCTAAAGCTGCACAATTTCAGTGCCTGAAAAGATAAAAATAAAATTATTCATTTTTCCTTGTTCGGTAGTTCCAGTGTCAAAAACCAGCGATAATATCGTAAATAAAGCAAAGTGCATTTCGAAAGACGTAATAAAGGTCATTTGAATATTACTATGTAGTATAGATGACATAAGTAGATTAGATTACTCATAATAAAGATTAATACGATCCACATTGCTGTAAAATAAAACGCGTTACGAAACGAAGATCGTAATGTGGAAAAATGATCGATGACTTAAACATAACCTAAACATGATCTTCAACTTGACCTTCCATTTCAATGTCCTTCCTTTACGAATCGTCCGAATAATTCCAGTTTATCCAGATTTTTACAATAACTGGGGCACCGAGTATTTAATTAAGAAGCTCGTGCCGTTATCGTTATCGTTATCGTTACCCAATATTTTATCCAGCCGGGAAGAAGTTAGAAAAGCGAAACATGAATTTAAACTGCGAATATACTCGTTTCGAAACCATTTCAGAATTATCGCATCAATCATCTTTTTATATGTGAAATATGTCGCGATCAACGACGCAACGAATAAAATTACAGCACTTGTCTCTCTCCAAGTAAATGATCCTAACAGAGGAAAGCGTGCTGTTACTCTGAAGCAGTTTCGGGCGGCCATCTTAGATCTCGAGGATGCACATCGCCAGGAGAGCGTAGAAATACACGAAATAAGGCAAACGTTCGTTTTAACAGAGAACGATTAGTTTCAAGAAATACCCGCGGTAAATCGCGTTTCCCTTTACGATGCAGTAACGACCAAGTTATCGGCAAAATAAAAGTTTACGAGCGACACGTACAGAACAGATAAGCGTACTCGCGGAACAACGGGATCCTGAAGTGTTGATCTAGCACCACGACCCGGAAATCCAAACCTGGGAACAGCTTCTTGCAGCCGAGGACGTCGGTGCTGAAGGCGCCGAAAACCCCCATGGACAAAATCCCGTGCGGGAAGCTACAGAACAAGTACAACCTGTTGGGGTCCAGATCGGTGGTCTTCACTAATTTCAAGGGGAAATAGTTGCAGAAGTAATGGAACCACGCGGTGTTCCTCATCCATCTTGTCAATCGTACGCTGAAATAGAGAAATCGAAATTATTAAATCTCTCCCACATTTCGAATACATCTATGATCCAAAAAGTCCTACTCTTCGAATACATTCACGATCAGAGACGAATAATAACAGTTCGCGATTATGCTACATCGAGATGATTAATCTAATCTCTGGATATTCGAAATCTGAAATTTATCTACGGTGGAGGATGAACGAAGATATTGACGATTTTTAAAAATTTTCTTTACGATTAATTTCTTGATTAATTAGCCGAATATTGGGAAATTTGAATCAGCTAAATGAGATTCTGGGAAAATTAGAGTTTCGCGTGGCAAAATAATACAATGAAGTAAATCGGGAATTAAAGGCTAGTATTTAAATTTTGATCGTGCGAAATCTGCGATTTTCAGAGATATTTAATTAACGCGAAATACTTATTGTAATGTAAGCTTCTCGTTTGTTGAATCAACGTAGGGAGATTTCAATTAACGGAACGAAACACCGGGAAAATTAGAGCTCTGCACAGAGAGCTCTATTCACAGTGGTAGATGAAGGCAGAAATGGGAAATCCTTGAAGAACCGGTATCTGAATCCTATTATTATTATTAGCACTTTACGAACTCCAGTTGCATTTGATTACTATGTAATCTTCTTTATTCTGAAACTTCTCGCACATATCGACCTAATTAATCGAACGTTGGAAAATTTTAATTACCGGAACGCGAGGCTGCAACGAGCGAAGCTACATTCACTGAGGTAAATGAAGGGAAAAACGGGGAACATTTGAAGAACCGGTATTCAAATTTCGCGCGCAATCCTTCGCTTATTTTTAATTAATATATTAAAACCCCTCTTTCGTATCGAACTAATTAATCGCACGCTGGAAGATTTTAATTAACAGAACGTGACGTCGTGCAATTGAAGCTTCTCTCACGCGAATCTCGAAAATTGGAAAGAAAGAAAAAATCTCGAATTTTTAACAAAATTAATTCCCAGAATTTTTCCTCGAGCTAAGTGAACTAAGTCAAGTGAACTTTCATTAGGATCGATCGATCAACGATCTATTTATAAATCTTTCGATTTTTATTTGCTCCTCTATCAGTTTCGAAGAAATTTCAAATTTCAAATTATCCGAATGTTATCGTTATCTAGATCAAATTTACGTGGGTCTTATCACGAGTGACGAGTTCTTTTCTAAATAAATCCGAGGAGCCACGTAGGCGAGTGGAATTTACCTTCGGCCGCCTTCGTTGCAGGTGTTCCAGTCATAATACATCCAGACGAGGTAGAGCAGCGCGAAGTAGCGAATGGTCTCGGTGTAGAAGAGGAGATAGGCGATACCGAGGTATCCGAAGAGGTCCCCGAAAACCAGAAGAACGAACCACACAGCGACTGAGAGCGTTTCCAGTCTTCGTTTCAGTGGGACGTTCAATGGTGCGAATTTCACGCCCAGAATCTCCATCGCGTCTTTTATTCCTCCAATTTCCTTATGGTAACATCAAAGCAGTGTCCACGGTGTAACTGGCAACAGATCGGTTTCACACGAATCAGAGAAACAGACATGTCATCGACGTCCAGGTCGATACTAAGCGAGCAATCACAATTTTTCATTCCAATTCTTCTACGTACTTTGTACCTTATTCTTTTTAAACTCTTTCACCTGACGATCTCTTGGGTAAAAAAGAATAGGAGTTCAAAGATTTTCTGCTATAAATTAACTAATGATATTCTTTTGAGCAGTAAATATGAAATCGTATTTCTTCGTTTAAAAATCAGATCTTAAATCACTATGCAAATTATTTATATCGGCTATATCGGCATTTGTACCATACGTAACTTATATTCTTTCTCTCTGCAAGAAACTGATGTATTTTTAATTTTGTTTATACACTAATGGATTCTACCATCTGTAAATTATTATCGAATAAATAAATAAATACATAAATATTGGTTATATTATAAAAAATTATTGAAAATGTAATACTTATACTTTATACTACGTGATCTATGTAAAATTGTGATCAAAGGATGATTATTTTTATGTGTAAATATTATTTGTAGAAGAGAAACTTGTTTCTATGTTTCTCATCGTGTTTCATATGATTTTTATTCGTATAATTGTTATGATTATTATATTTATTTATTCGTATGATGTTATTCGTATTATATTTCTTCGTATGATGATATTCGTATGATTTTCAATAGATATTGAAATAAAATTGGCACTACATTATACTCTAGTTCTTCTGTAATACGCTACATTTTGAATTTTTTAAATATCATAATTAGTTTGGTTTGTATGAGCTTTTTCCCAAACCTTAGTAATTCGTAAAGTTGGTCCGGTTATCTACGCACAGGCGCCTGTTTCTCGCTCGGCACTAAAAGGGTTAATTAAATTGAACTTGCATGATCGGCTACTTTCAAATTTCGAAATTGAAACGTCTATAGATAACGAAAGCTACTACGTAGCGTATTTGCATGTGGTTCGTGAATTATGCAGTCCTCCTGACCTTTCCGCTTGGAACCATTCCAAACGATCCTCGATGTCTAATTATTCGATATAATTGCGTTCGATAAGTATCGCAATTTAACGCTTGATCTGTTATTACTTTATAGACATATAAACGGAATATAAGTAGTATAAGCAGAAATCTGCGCGTGAGTCGATAACCGTATCGTGCGATAACGCGAAATGCGAAAAACACAGAGACCGTGGAACGGTCGACTTGCTCGCGTAAGTGATAAGTTCACAGTCAATGATCTTTAGGCTAAAAATTGCTTTCACGATGTATATCGCGCGTTTTAGATAGGACTTTACGTATCTCGAGTTCAAGTCGATATCACGGAGACGATATGGTCGAAAGTGTGTCAAGTACTCGCGAACCTTTCTCGTTTCTTCGGTCATTCTACGTATTTTTACCTTCGCAGTTGTGACAACGTTTACAGATGCCAATTAACGTCTCATTCTAGCGTTTCCCGGACCCTCTTTCCTAAAGTGACTGCGGAATATTTCAGAAGCAATTTGCCTAATGTCAATTATCGCGGACGCTACATTTTCCTCTGCTGTCGTTATTTTTAAATCGTACTTATATAAATGGCGATACAATACGACGAATCTGTTGTCGCTAATGGATACCCAGAAGTGTGAAATAATAAATTTAAAAAAGAAATTAGGTTACTATTATCTTCCAATTGCTCTATTATTCATAACAAGATTTATAATTTAGGAAATTAGAAGTTCGAAATAATAAATTAACCCTTTAATTACTAAAAGCGTTTAGAAGTCTGGCTCTTGTGATACTGTGGCGCCTAATGTGACGCTCAGAAGTCTCTCTTGCTGCTAAATTTTAAGTACGTATAGTAAAAATTCAATACAGAATATGAAGAAACAAATAACGTTATATTAATGTAGTGGAATATAGCGTTTTGATTATTACTTGAATATACAATAATTTCTCAGAAATGCATACCTAACGAAAGGTTTCGTCGTTCTTGATGTACATTGCAAATGGATTCCTACCGTATGATATGGCTGGTGTGTTTCGAAGTCTGCCACAGTCAAAGGGTTAAGAAATCGATGTTAATGCGTATGGATACTCAATACAGCTGTCTTTAAACTGTTCCACAAATGCATACGATATACAGTTCATAATTTGGAATCTCTAGGAAACATTTACTATCACTTACATCCTAATACCTGCAAAGTGAAGCAAACGTGCAAGTGATCACGCGTATTTTTCCCTCCTTTCTTTTCTCGCGTATCACGCAAGAGTATGGTCGTTCGAATACACACTTGACCAGGTCAGTACAAGGTTTACTATTGTTCCCTCCATTTCGCTTCCCGTCTCCAACGTTTCTTCCGAACCATTGCCCGCTTGACAGCTGCTAATCAAACGATGGCAGAGCTTTTTAACTTCAGTCTATCCTTCTCTAACAACCATAATCGTACCGACAATCGCGTGATTGGGAATTGGCAACACCCCGTTCAACTGCGAAGCCTTTATGCCAAATACGCAGCAGATTCGCGATCCACGTGTCTCACGCGCGAGTATGATCGTTCGAATACATACTTGACCAGATCAGTACAAGGTTTAGCTACTGCTCTCACCATCTCGCTTCCTGTCTTCAATGCTTTTTCCGAACATTTGCTCGATTGACAGTCGCTAGTCAGACGATGGCAGAGCTTTTTAACTCCAGTCTACCCTTCTCTAACAACCATAATCGTGCCGACAATCGCGCGATTGGGAATTGGGAGCATCCCGTTCAACTGCGAAGCCTTTATGCCAAACAATTCCGCTCGCTGCAAATTCGCGGCAGATTCGCGATCCACGTGTCGCCCTGTCTCCGTCGCGACGCTCCAAGAATAGAGATTCGTTACTGGACGTACAAAACCGCGTCTACTCCGAGATAACGCGATTCCCCGACGCGGATCGTACCCAGAAAGTCATCGACCTCCATTTCCTTCGTACCCTCCGCTCCGCCGAATTTCGTGCTCGGAATCACTCTTGTCGTGTCACTCCGCTGTCAAGGTGGACTCCACCATGACCCAGCGCGGTTTCAAGCTCGAGGGAAACGCGGCTATCGCGCGTGCCCTCTCGAGGACGCTCGCACCGTGTCCACGTGCCCTTCGAACAATGCAAACTGCATTATTTATAGCAGCCGCGCGCGAGAAAAGAAATAGACCCCGGTCAGATCTGTTCCACGTCTGTCTCGACGTCAATCGACCCGATATATCTCTCTTTCTCATCGCCGCGATTCTTATCGGCCAACCTACTCGGTATTCCGGTTGGTACGTGGAAGTAACGAGAGGCTGCGACTCTCGTTAGGCTTTGGATCGATGCCGAGAGAATTCAGCACGTGGTTCGCCAGGATCTCGCGCACTGGTCTCAGACCTAAGGATGAAAGGCACTTCCAAGTGTAACGCATTCCTCCCGACGATGCTTTTTGGCGACCGAGAACTTTCTCTTGATAGGTGCTAGTTGCTAGGTGCATACTCAATCGCGACGACGTGCTAGCGAATGGGAAAATTCATCGATTGATAGCTAGTTTCTTTTTTCGTGATAAATATAATAATAGAATAGTGTGGGTGAGAATGCTTCGTCTCGAAGGAAAAGATTTTGGAGGAAGGAAGGAAAAATAGGGTGCACGAGCACGATTTTTCCTGGTATAGTACAGGGTGGTCGCTGAGAGACTGATATGACGACTATAAAACGATAATAACTTTTGCTGTCACACGTTTGCTTAATTTTCTATCATTTTATTTGGAAATATAAGTAATAGATTAATAGAGCAAGTAAACCCAGGAAGGTAGAGATCACTGGAAAAACAGGTATGGAAGTATCGTTAACATTTGATGATGATAAGACCTATTTGTAATTAATTTTATAGTCTATGTAATGTGCACAACGTTCGATACAGGTCCTCGATAGAGGACTCGTTTCCTTAAATTAGAAATAGGATTAATAAATTAATAAAACAAGTTAGGACTTTTTCGAACCCTTCAGTTTTCAATGACTACCCTGTATTTCTAAGACCAGGAAGGTAAAGATCACTGGAAAAACAGGTATCAAAGCATTGTTAACATTTTCGATAATGATAAGATCTATTTGCAATTGATTTTATAGTATAATTTACTCAACGTTCGATGTAGGTCCTCGATAGAGGACTCGTTTCCCTAAATTGGAAATATAATTAATAGTCTAATAAAACAAGTTACGAATTTTTCGAACCCTTCAGTTTTCAATAGGCACCCTGTATTTCTAAAACCAGAAAGGTAGAAATCACTGGAAAAACAAGTATAGAAGTGTCGTCGACATTTTAGATGATGATAAAACCTATTCGCAATTAATTTTATAGTATAATTTACACAACGTTCAATGCAAGATCTCCGATAGAGGACTCGTTTCCCTAAATTGGAAATATAATTAATAGACTAATAAAACAAGTTACGAATTTTTCGAACCCTTCAGTTTTCAATAGGCACCCTGTATTTCTAAAACCAGAAAGGTAGAAATCACTGGAAAAACAAGTATAGAAGTGTCGTCGACATTTTAGATGATGATAAAACCTATTCGCAATTAATTTTATAGTATAATTTACACAACGTTCAATGCAAGATCTCCGATAGAGGACTCGTTTCCCTAAATTGGAAATATAATTAATAGACTAATAAAACAAGTTACGAATTTTTCGAACCCTTCAGTTTTCAATAGGCACCCTGTATTTCTAAAACCAGAAAGGTAGAAATCACTGGAAAAACAAGTATAGAAGTGTCGTCGACATTTTAGATGATGATAAAACCTATTCGCAATTAATTTTATAGTATAATTTACACAACGTTCAATGCAAGATCTCCGATAGAGGACTCGTTTCCCTAAATTGGAAATATAATTAATAGACTAATAAAACAAGTTACGAATTTTTCGAACCCTTCAGTTTTCAATAGGCACCCTGTATTTCTAAAACCAGAAAGGTAGAAATCACTGGAAAAACAAGTATAGAAGTGTCGTCGACATTTTAGATGATGATAAAACCTATTCGCAATTAATTTTATAGTATAATTTACACAACGTTCAATGCAAGATCTCCGATAGAGGACTCGTTTCCCTAAATTGGAAATATAATTAATAGACTAATAAAACAAGTTACGAATTTTTCGAACCCTTCAGTTTTCAATAGGCACCCTGTATTTCTAAAACCAGAAAGGTAGAAATCACTGGAAAAACAAGTATAGAAGTGTCGTCGACATTTTAGATGATGATAAAACCTATTCGCAATTAATTTTATAGTATAATTTACACAACGTTCAATGCAAGATCTCCGATAGAGGACTCGTTTCCCTAAATTGGAAATATAATTAATAGACTAATAAAACAAGTTACGAATTTTTCGAACCCTTCAGTTTTCAATAGGCACCCTGTATTTCTAAAACCAGAAAGGTAGAAATCACTGGAAAAACAAGTATAGAAGTGTCGTCGACATTTTAGATGATGATAAAACCTATTCGCAATTAATTTTATAGTATAATTTACACAACGTTCAATGCAAGATCTCCGATAGAGGACTCGTTTCCCTAAATTGGAAATATAATTAATAGACTAATAAAACAAGTTACGAATTTTTCGAACCCTTCAGTTTTCAATAGCCACCCTGTATTTCTAAAACCAGAAAGGTAGAAATCACTGGAAAAACAAGTATAGAAGTGTCGTCGACATTTTAGATGATGATAAAACCTATTCGCAATTAATTTTATAGTATAATTTACACAACGTTCAATGCAAGATCTCCGATAGAGGACTCGTTTCCCTAAATTGGAAATATAATTAATAGACTAACAAAACAAGTTACGAATTTTTCGAACCCTTCAGTTTTCAATAGGCACCCTGTATTTCTAAAACCAGAAAGGTAGAAATCACTGGAAAAACAAGTATAGAAGTGTCGTTGACATTTTAGATGATGATAAAACCTATTCGCAATTAATTTTATAATATAATTTACACAACGTTTAATGCAAGGTCCTCAACAGAGAACCCGTTTTCCTAAAATTAAAATTTCCTTCAAAATTAGTAGCTTAACAAATTCGGTTTTACCATCGTCGCTAATCTTCCATTCGAAGCTATACCTGACAATTTCACACGGAATTCCAATAACTATGTTACATTCTACGATACATTATCCATCGTACCTACATACATTAGACAATAACGATCCTCCTTTGCTGTCACGGAGGATCACGAGCTGTCAGTCGAAACGAGAAGACAATACTGCAGCCTATCAATGCTTATCTTCTCGTCAAGGACACGCGGTGTTATTTCCATTTGGGCCGTCTCGTTAGATCTGTGTGCATCGTACAATTGTCTCATTCAATATACACGGATTAACAGTTTTTCGAGACATCTTATTCAAAGTCTAACTCTTATTCGAAGTGTCACAGTAGGTTAATTAGAGTCCATGCATAAAATCCGTGAGGAAATTATACAAAGAAAAATAAAGCCATCACGTTGCAACTTTATGATCGTCTATAAGTAACCGAATGAAAATTTCTCGCGCAAAATCCATGCTAATTTGCATACGAACATCGTTGCCTAGTTCATCGTTCACTTATGAAATTAGCGATTCTTTTTAACAGCATAGCCGACGTATTTGCTCCATTGTGCCACGCAGCTGGCTCGTTGATGCCCATACAGGATGAAGAAATTAACATGGCACGTATTTAATCGAGTACAAAGTCAAAGGATCAAAGAATGGAGCACTTCCTCGATAACGAGCATCGAGTGAACTTTGCTCGCTTTTTCTTCGCGATTCACGATTCACCAGAAAGGAACTCGTATTCTTCCTTTCCTTATCTTTGAGTTTCCTCAGTGTTTACCCACAGTTTATTTATCGTTATTCAATAATCTATTACTGTATTTATTATATTCGTTCTACATGCCCCGAGTCCAAATTAACACGGATCAACACTCCTCATAGATCACTCTTATCTTCGATAAATATTTTCCATTCTCCAGGTTCTATATATCGCGTGTGTTATTAATGACGACGATATTGTCACCAGATTATCGATACATTGCAATTAATCTCGGGTATTAAATTCTGTACTTTGTATTATTGCACATATCTCCGAATTTTTTAAATGCATTATACTTTATAGCAGCAAGAAGGCGAAGACAGTTGTGTTTAGAATTAATTTCTGTCAGTTTTCTGTTTCTGTTTTGCGATCACACACTCGATGCGACACACGTGCTATCGCTGTTCTTGTTATCATCGGCATGTCATTAATTCGGCACGACAAAGCCGAAGGAGATAATACCTCTATATACACGCGTGAGACACCATGCACGAGTTTAAAACGCTTTTCGTTAACGGAGACGATATTTTTCATCGACATTTGTTACTTCGTATGAACTTCACCTATTTTTCACAGAATTTTCTTCGTCGTGACTGACTTGCAATTGAAATGCAGATCGAGTTTTTCTCGCAAACGATGCATCAATGTCAATGATTTCACGAAACGTTGGAAAGAAAAATATGTCAAGTTCGACGCCTCGGGAAACTCGATTCTGCTTTCCTCTCGCAAGGTTCGAGAAAGAAAAACGTCGATTCGCTGTCATTCAACGTTCCATGACGCGACGAGGCACGTTGACTTCCATTGATGACATCGTTCTTCATTCCAGGAAAATTTCTCGCAGTTACATCGGTCATAGGATCGATGAAAAATAAAGAGATCGGTAAATAAACGAGCACGAGTCGTGTTCCAGTTGGCAATGACTCGCCGAAGTATCAGGAAAATCGGTAGGATTTTTTGAATGATTTGCGAGAACGAGGAAAACGGTGATACGATTAATCATCGCGGAAATACTGACATGCAAATTCGGCTCGCCGATCTCGAACAATGATTAAGAACATCCGCTCCGAGGATCTTCTCGCTGTCATGTTTGCAGCTAGATTTACAGAGCTTCAACGTACACCTTAAATATAGCGTTCTGATGATAGTAATAATAACAAAGATCGTGGGATGAAATAAATATAACACTAATCTCGGTAAAAATAATTCCAGGATAATTGAAATAATGGAAAAATATGAAAATCCGTCATAGTGACAGACGAAAGAAGGTAAACAGATTCGTAAGAGCTAGAAAGAAATAGGAGTTTCGTGCAAAGAGTTGGAAAGAATGGCAATCCCCGTTGGATCGCAGTATCCAACCACCTTCCCACTGGTCCACGCGACAATGAGGAAGTAATCAGGATCGTTACCAAACGACCACGCAAAATCTGCAACAAACGACGCGACCCAGTCTCACGCAAGCTCACTCCAACGACCCGAAAAATTTCTCCCACGTCCCCCCTTTTCGATATCAATATATAGCTGTCCTACCTTCTCGTACTTCCACATTCCCTAGACCGACACTGACTCTTTAAAATCCGCTTACCAAAAATCCCGAGATTTCCCAAGTCGCTGATCGAATCCCGTTCATTCCGTTCGCACAACTCTCCGAGCACAACCACGCGAGCTGAATGAAACTCAGCTTTCGCAGAAGCGGTCGGTGGAGGTCTCGGTGAACGAATGTCGAATCTCAGTCGACGCACTCGATCACCAAAATAGACGATCAGGTGACATCCGCGAGCGTAGTGCGCTTACCTGTGTCCGCGAGGCGGCCTCTTGCCATTTGCAGGTAGCCCACGGTCCACCGGCGTGTGTCACGGCTTCCGGTGTGCTGGGATCTCGGTTGTGTCTGGACGCGGCTTTCTCTTCCACGGAAAGCACGGCGAGGATAATGGAGCAGGACGAACGTAGGCGTGCGAGACGAAATGCTCGGCTCGGCGTCACAATGCTCACTGGCTCGGCGCCGCGCGGAGCGGACGGAAGAGACCGCGTGCGTGAACGTACGCCGCTCGACCCGAGCCACGCAGGCACTCATACACGCTGCTGAATCAATGACGGGAGAGGAGAGGGATCTCTTTCTCTGGGCAAGGTGGCTCTCCGTTCAAAAATTCCCCATACTCGCTGGTCTTCTTCTTATAGTTGCATCGATGATCGATGATCCGGGGATCTAGCTGGACAGGCCGATGGACTGGTGGGTGGGTGGATATGAAAGAAAAGAAAAATGGGGGAAATGTAGTTGAGTTTGGCGTGGTAGGTCTAGAGCTGAGATTTTGGGAGAAATTTTGAGGGGTCACTGTGGTTTAGGGGATGGCAGTGGTGAAAAATAGTTTACTACAATGTATCCAGATATAATTTTACCTACCATAGAGGGAGTTATCTTTGTGATCTAGATTTGAAGAAAATTTTCGATATTTCTATCAATGGGTAAAATTAAAATTAATTAAGGAAGAAATGGTAACAACGTGGATCGAGTATTTTTTACATTTTTGTAAAATAGCGCGAGGTATACATTTCTAGATTTTGTATATTTGCATAGATCATTTGTTCATTTTAATTATCAATTTTCTCATATAAGTGTACTATATGTCAAAGGTTAATATTTGGGTTAAATAAAGAAGAAGTGGTAACGAGTGTTTGTATGTACAACAATAATGTTAATTAGGTGTGTTATGGTTATCTGGAGAGATAATTTTGGGAATTGAAGAGATGATCTATAGTGGAGCGATGACGTGATTGAGTTTCGAGGAATTGTGGTTCCCTCTTTGGAGATTTTGGAGATCCCATTGGTTGGTTTTTCGTCGTAGAAAGGATTATGGATCTCCTATATGAATTCTTGAAATAAAAAGAACGATAAGAAAGGTGAGCAAACTCGTCCCACATTCTACTTTCTATTGAATGGAAACTTGCCGCTGAAGAAAGATCGGCTATTCTCGATTCTCTACGAGACACAATAGAGTGTGCAAATCCGTAAGAGAGCGTTTAAAAATTCCGAAAACGTTCGAAAATATTCGGGGATTTTTTCTTCGGTTGTACTTTTGTACTCCATTGGTATTTAAGTATCTTCAGCGATAAGATAACCGTACTCGATATCTTTCGTCACGGTTAATCGTTCTTTTTCCTTCGCCGTAAGAAAAGAAGGGAACCACCTTCCTCCGTCGCGTGGACCGGAAGTGAATGAGAAGAAACAGAATCACGCTTCTGTTGAAACAATACGTTTATTGCTCGATCTATAAAAAAACAGACGAAAGGGCAAGGTGTGCACCTGTTAGAGGCCGTGCATCGGCACCGAGAGAAAAATATACCTCGATTAATTAGAATCTATTACCATCGCGACAACAATTACAATTAGTTTAACCGGTATACCGTAATGCGTACGACGTATACATACAATAATGCACGTGTAGTTTCCGAAGCTTCCGATCTCGGCTCTCACCGGGTTGTGATTCCCGTTTGGTAAAAAAATCTTCGCTTAAAAGAAAAGAAATCCTCTGGTTTCTCGTTGACGAGAAACAGGTTTAACAGTTCTCAGAAGGAAGAGTAACGAGCAAGTATAAATTCGCACGAAATCGAATGTAAACCGACCGAAATACCCCTAAATCATAATCCGGCATTTCTCACGGAAGAGTACGTCGGTTAAACGATTCACCGTTCGATTATATATATATTTTTCCTCATATAAAATTCACCTTCAATAACGCAGTCCGCGTTCAACGATTAATTCTATAATTACCGTTTAATTAGCAAAATTTGCGATTAGTGGAACGCATTTAACAATTAATTTCAGCACGATTAGTAGAACAATGTCGCTTCTATGTTATCTCGCTGGGTGATCTACGCGACGATCTACCGTAGATCCCCCGGTCGCGTGAAAAGACATATCGAAAATGCGAAAACGATTCGATTCTTTCGAGGACCTTCGCTTCGTTTCCGACAAAACGGCTCTTTAAATCTATATTTTTGTTTATAATAAATTTTATAACAGCTCTTTAATAGAGAACAATACGTATGCCTTTATATCCTGTTTTCCCTTTGACGAAGTTTCCCGTGGAAAGTTTTCATTTCATATTTTCAACGTGTATTCTCACGCAGAATCGGGTTTCCTTTTGTTTAATTCACTCTGCGCTTCATTCGCTCAACGAGTCACAATCGAGAATGTTCGAGCGTGATACGAATTTAGCATCGATCCCGATGCCTATGACTGTGCACGAGCAGAAAAGTTCGGAAAGTAAACGTGAATCTCGGGATTCTAAGGTGAACAACAGCACCGATCGAAAACGCTACCGCCACACGCAATTTTACAAGCTCTTCTCGCTCGGTCTGCCCGTTTCCGTTTCGAGGCCCCTAAAAGCGAGGGAACAACGATATCGACTTAGTTTCTTTTTATTATTTTTCATTTTCAAGCCGTAGATTATCTTCTAAGCGTAAAGCCTAATGCTCAGGTGTCCCTTTTAAAGTCCCATTGCAGTCGATCAACAGATCAAAAGAAGGCGGTTCAAAGTCCATTCATACTGTCTACTTGCGCATTCCGAGTCGTTTCTTTACAAGAAATCCACTCACGAAGCTAGATTCTTTGATCGAGTCTTTACACTTGTCACCAACTAAATTAACGAATCATCCACACTGTAAAGTTATCACGATCCCAGTGTCTGACAGCATTTGATCTCTATTTGACTAGATTAGGACTTTAAATGGTACGGATAGAATCTCAGCTCCCACTAAGCACACAGTAGTTGCATATTGTCACGAATCTTCGCCACATCTACGACATCCACATACGAATCAACTCTCTGCTTCAACACGATTACATGGCCGCGACATGAGCAACGTCTGATCGTCCAAATCGTACTCAACAATCGATAAGTTCCTTTCTTAAAAACAACAAACAGCGACGAGGTTGTTCGGACGACACGTTGCGCGACGCTTGGCTACTTACTATAAACGATTGTCAGGGACGGACAGTGAGGTCGTTCAACGCAAAATGCAGAAAAGCATCGTCACGCGACACGTCTGATTGACCAAAACGAGTGATTCGTGAATATGTATCATGGCCGCGTCACTCGTGTCACGTGTACGCATTTTTAAAGAAGATAAGTTCGAAACAGAGACACGAGACGAATATCACGCTAACGTGTACAAATCGCTATAGCATTGGTTTCTCGATGCCCACCACGATTATTTTCTGATCTTCGAAGAACGAGCGAGGACTGTCGATTAGAAGGGAGACATAAGTAGACGAAGGTTTACAAAGTATCCAAAGTAATCGTAAAAGCATTGGTCCACAGAGCAGTCAATGTTCCAAACTGATCTTGGAAGGTTTGTAGGAAACGCTTTCAAGACGAATTTTGCACGATATTTCCATCCGCTGACTGTTTGGTACAGTTTCACGCAGTAAAATTACTGGTAAAAGTTTATCAAGAGGTTACGCAAATAGCACATGCAGTTGTACGTCATTCATGATTGCAAATGCACAGACAGCATGTGCAAATGTAGCAGAATCGCTTAGTTCAACCGCTCCGTTGAATCATATTTTTAACCAACGAGAATGATCCGAAAGTCGATACGTATGATACACTGAACAAAATACCTTTTTCATACGCAATATACCATTAAAAGAAAGAGTAAGATACGTATTTTAAGGGACTCGTGCACGTGTCTCTGTATCAGGAAAGCGAATGTTTGTTGAAGGTACGATCTTTGTTAGAGAAAAAGAAATAACGAGCAAATAAAATGATTTTTCATTAGGATGGATGATTAATCTCTTTCATTCCACGTTTATTTCAACGAAACGCTATCCTAACGCTACTCTAACGTCAAAGAACATCACCAACGCAATAAAAAGTAATAAAAAGGTATTTCAACGATCAAGCATACTCGGGTTATTTGGAGTTAATAATAACGAAAAATCATAACGTGGATACACATCTCTGACTCGGAGGTATGGTCAATTAACCCATTGTTCTAACTGGTTCGTTCAATCGCAGAAAGACGGTAATTGTTTGACTCGATTTTTGGATGATCCTGGTTGGAATTGATCCTTATAAATGTGAAATAATGCTGAGAGATCTGAGAGAAATGGGCTAATTGACATCATCTACGAACGCGATATCATCAACACTTTGTTTCGCCACTTGGAGCGTCTAAAAATGCTTAACAACGAGTATAACGATTCTGTCCCACGAAATATATACATACGTGCGTATATATATGTATGTATATAGGTCGCGAGAAAGCTCTTAGAGTTTATTGCTTCATCTAATCTAGAATTGAACCGCGAGTACGACCTCGGCACTCAGCCATTGAATTTTTCTGAGATTTTCGATTATTCACGGCAATGATAAATCTATCGAGTGTCATTAGAGTTCGTTTAACTCCAGCTGCAGATAACAATATGAAAATAAACGACTCTACGGCGATATTAGACCGATTTATCATCGACCAACCCAAAATCACGTGTTCTCGACGAGCACATAAAATTAATCAGTTCCACACGCTGGATTCGTTGATCCACGCCAAAGAACCGAAGCCGTAGCGCCACGGAAGGAACCAACCGCTCTCTACTTCCTGTCAGCCAAGGAGTTGCAACGTTACATAGCATTCTTCATCTTTTTAATCCCCTTTCTTCTATATATATCGAAAATACCGCGTGCCAGCGGCCGCGCCTCATTCATCAACGACGTGACATAATAAAATACGATGTACAATAATCGAATAGATCTCCATTATACAACGACGGATAAGAAAATAACAAAAAGCGATCGACAATTTTCATATTAAGCCGTCATTTAATCCTACGGTTCGTCGTCGACGCCCTTTCCCACCTTCTCTCCATTCTCTTCATTCTCAAATCGTACAACAGCTAGCTATTTATAAGAACAACATCCTTTCCCACCTTCTCTCCATTCTCTTCATTCTCAAATCGTACAACAGCTAGCTATTTATAAGAACATCTCACGTTTCGTCGTAACAACGACGACGAGAATACTGATTATTGGCGTTTTGGCAGCCGATATCCACGCAGCACGCGAATAACAATCATTCCTTATCCTCCTCAATCTTCGACTTATTCGATTCCTCGGTGTCTCGACAGAGTCCAGCATCGACCAACGTACGACCAAACGTTCCTCACAGGGAACGTGGAGAACCGAAAGAACCTCCTTTACTTTGACAAAGAGCACGCGATTCGTGGCGAGAAACAAACAGATGGGCAGTGGTTTCTTGGCTCTTCAGCAACCGATTGGGGAACAGTTGTCGCGCGAAGTATCGACCATTCATCGTCCTCCAGTCTTCGGCGTCTTCCGTCCGTCGTCAGGCACTTTTAGCCGCTCTCGGGGAACCGATTGTCTCTGATCGATCGGTAGCTGGCCTTCTTTGGCAGATTTCGGCAGAGCATGATCGTGCCGAGTTGGCAGATGCGGCATACGGTAGTCGGTACACGATGGAACACGCGCGCGCCACTACGGACACCGTACTATCGAGCGGAACGGTCGATCCGACTGCTTCGTTCTGTCCAGTGCTTCGCTGGCTGGGAGGCCGAGTCGGAGAGTTACGTAGACGTCGATGGGGACGACGGGATTGGGTCTGGCTGGTAGTACCTCATGCCGTTTATCTGCAATATTTCATATTTCTTTACACATTTATCCGCAGTTAATATTCATGACATTTTAACCCTTTGCACTCGACGATTTTTTGGCTAGAGAAGAGTAGAAATTCAAAGATTCTCTACTAAAAAACTGACTATACCTTTTTGAGCAGTAAATAAAGAATTGTATAATAATACAATTGTCGAATTATTTGACTTCGATATTTCGCACACTGTTACATTACATTAAATTTGATATATTAATTACTATCGATCTTCCAAATCTTATGAAATGGTGACTGAAGATCACCTCTCGAGTGCAAAGGGTTAATTTCCTCATCATGGTACCCAATTTAAACACAACATGATCTATCTTGGAACTACTAATCTCTCGTTACTAGTACCATGAAAAGAATTCAAACGTGTCCTCACCGTCATGTCGTACTCCGTGATGTAAGCTGGGATCTCTAGCTGGTCAGGAGACATCACTTCGTAAAGATATTCTACTCCTGGTAAGTTGTGAACTTTCTGTTTGATGGCTGGAGCCATGAACGTTGTGAACCACCACGTCATCATCTGCAAGAGATAACAACGAAATTACCAATTTCACCATCGTCAGTCTAGTGTTCCTATATTTCCTTGAATCAACGAGATATCTCGGTCTAGCAGACGTTAGTGTCGGAACCCTGCCATTTTTAAGCTAACGAGAAGGAACGAAGACTTATTCCAAGGTCCAATTATTTTCCTCCGCTTCATAGCCATCCCCGTTCAGCTTATTCGGGGTTCCTTTGAACCGCTAACAATGCCAGATTCGGTTCACCAGATAGCGATTGGCCTCGCGCAGGGTCAAGGATGCGTTTGCACGGATTTGCAAATCGTGACGCGAAAACGCGTTCGCTTAGATGGCTACCGGAAGGGCAGGAAGTTCGATACGATCGTGCGATTAGCATGGAACACAAACGTGGGAAATGCAATGGTTTCTGCGTTTTAAAACTAGTCTTTATCGACACTCCTTATCGATTCTCATTAAAAATCAACCGTTCTGATTTACGACTCTGACCGGTTCCAAATCTTTCGACAGAACGAACTTATGTACAGATATTTTCGAATAATTTTCGGGATTACCTTGGTCCAGAAAGTCGGGTGGATAATGTAGAAGTGTTTCAGGTTCTTCTTATACCTGCAACAGAAACGGCCCCATGTATATCCATTCTCGAAGAGTGACGACATGATTCAAGGACTCGTATTTCATTCGAAATGGAAAACTTCCTTCAATTTAAATTAGTCTACCTGACTGAAACTCTCGGCGTCGTTGCATCAGTTTCATTTATCTTTAAATCTACTTCTCATGGTCGCTGTGTCGAATTACGCATAAAACGAAGTATCACTTAAGTTAATATTACCCGCGATACCCGTAGCTATTCAGCATAAACGATGTGCAACGTATTCCACATATAAACGACTATTTAATAGAAACTGAATAGAAATTGAATAGAATTTTAATAGAAATTTAATAGAATTTCAATTTCTAAGATAACGGTCTCGATTGAGAAGAACTATTATTTTAGTATTGGGAATAATATATACCGTACTGGAAGATATTAAAATAAGACACAGTTACGAGGAATAAATCTCACTTGTAGGGAAGCACGTTGTACACTTCGCGCAACCAATGCAGGCTGGGGTAGTTGTTGCTAGTCGTTAGCGTGTGGAAATAAGCGATAACGTAGTCGCCTTTGACAATGGGATCCAGTAACTGTATCAGGTACAGCAGAGCCTGAAACAGAGGTAGAGAATTTCTCGTTAGCGAATCCTGAAAGGATCTTCTCGGTTTATCTTCGTTCCGAGGACATCCTTTCCACTGTAAAATTGCGTACACACCGGATTAATCGGCTAGAATCATCTTTCAGTTTCGAAAAATTTCGAGGAAAGTAGCGGGCATTGTACACGGTGGAAAGATTAACGAGCTTTATGACAGCATAGGAAGCTTGAACAAAACGAATCGCGCAGCTGAGACAGGCGTATTATTTTCTCCCGGATGCAGCGAGGGAAGCGCGAAATTTCAGAAAAATGGCGAATGTGGTGGTCGCGATGAAATTTCTCGAAAGAAATGGCACTTAGTCACGATCTATAATTTAAAGGGAAAGAAAAATATGCAAATTAAACGAACGTCAATTTCTCAAAGCATTCCCGAATGAAAACCAGCGCTGTTTCCAAGAACGGAATACACCCATTACTCTTCCCCTAAAAACAACCTGAATCGGAATTACTGCCATTCAGCCGTGTCATGAACAGGGGTTGGAAACTGTTAGAATATCGATTCCGATTCTCGAAACACTTTCAAAGAACTGTTATTTTCTATAACCGCTATAAAGAACCGGGATCAGCGAGGGTATCGATTTCGGCTACGATTCCAGTGGCTTTAGCAGAAATATCCATTCTTCGTCCATCCCATTTCGATTTTATATCGGTACCGTTATCAACCCACCCAGTATCCAATTATTGTAAAATTTTCGGCGAATTTCTGCAAGCAGCGCTGCCTATATAAAGACTGCGACATCGCAGCTCTAAATTAATTCGCCAATTCGACTTCGGACAGAAAATAACTTAATTTTAACTACCCCCTAGATTCGAATTATTCCAAAATTTCGAAGGTTCTCTTGAAATTTCGAGAAGGTAGAATATATCGAAATTTAAAATAAGATAAAGGTACTTATAACTTCGATGTTCGTTTCTGCTCCATGGAACATCGCCACCGATATCATAGAGAAAGCAGAAGTTGAACGCTGTTAGAGTACCCCAAATAACATCTCGAAGCAGTTCAAAAGTACCCCCACTGCAACTACAAAACTACCCTACCATTTTTACTACAATTTCAACACGATGCTTTCATTAAATGGGTTCACGAATCTATTTCATTTACAATCATCCTTAGAATTCATTCGCGAAATCGCAACGTCGTTCGTTCCTCCATCTAGGTCCCATTTCCCGAAAAACCTAAACCTTGGAGGTTTATGTTCTTTTGTGGAGTCCCCCCTATGGGTGGTTCTTCTATGATGTCTTCGTTGGTACGCTTGTTTTGACTTTTGTGGTGTTCCCAATGATGGTGTCTCGGGTGTTCCTATGGTGCTATCGATTGGTTTTCCCCTTGATCGTGGTGCTATTGGTAGAATAGTAGATAGAAGGACGAAAGGAAAAGGAAGGGGGCCCTCTGCTTTTATCCTGGGCCTATTAGTGGACTCATCGGTAAAAGCTTTTCCAGCAGGCCCTGATTTCGTTCTGGGCCTAATAGTGGACTCAACAGTAAAGCTTTTCTAACAGGCCCTACCTTATTTGTGGATACTTAAATGGCATAGGAACTTCTATTTAAGTAAGATGGAGGACTCACGGAGTACTTGCGAGAAAGTCCTCGAACCTCCTTGAGCCGGAATCCACCTAGCGGCGAGAGCGAGAACGATGGTCGCTACGCTTTTATCAGACCTGTCCATTTTAACAGTTCACCACGCGATGTTCAGAGACGAATCGAGTAAACGTGAGAGGCGACACAGGACAGGGTGGGAAAAGCGAGTGTTTGATCCGAGCGAGGCGCACTCGTCATCACGTTTTAATCGATCGCGTCGCTACAACTCGAATTAGTACTCCGGTTCCTCGCCCCCGACACGGGGGTCGTGGAAACCAGGTCGGAGGCCTCGCGAGCGAAAAGAGCAAGGGGCTCGTGGAAGCTTTGGACGACTGCGAAAAGTTGGCCGGGAAAGGAGGAAGAGAAAGTCGGCCGATTCCTTCCGCCAGATATCGCGCCGACCGGGGGTGGATGGCTGTGCGGGTCTTGCCGGATTCGCCACCCCTTTCTGTTTCTTCCCTTTCGTTCCTCGACGTCGTCGGTGACGTCAGAAGTCTGGGCGTGTATTTTAATCCGATATCACGGACGTCGCGGCGCACATGTGGGTCGAACGATATTGTGATATTAAATTCTGCGTTCTGGTAAATTGGGGCGGTGGACGGGGGTGGAAGATGTACGGGGGGTTTAGGAAATAGGGTTCATGAGTCGAGGGAAGACTGATGGTGTTGAGCCGAGAAGAATGAGGAATATGTAATTTATTATTTTAAATTAATTAACGTAGTAGGGGTAGCGACCAACGTTCACACCCTCACTGCTATATGGGAAACGGAAGTTCGAGGTTTCTTGTAAGTTTTCAGTCAATCCTCGATTCCCATAGATACAAATTCCTATGCTACTTAACACTTAGCCGACCGATCGGGGAGATCTCTCCATTTTGAAGTAAATCGGTCCCCGACCGAATTGGGGAGATCTCCCATTTTGACCTTAGCAACGCGTTTCTCGTTTTCGGTTATTACTTACACTACCTCCATTTGGAGTTGTTCGCAATTACTGACGAAGTGCTTCTATAAAACACAACATATAATAAAATTCGCCAATTTTTAAGACCCCTTATTCGGTATTTCCGAATAAATGCCGGATGGACAGCGCAGTTTGGATTCTCCGAGCGCGGTGGAAACCGTATAGTTCGCTCTGGGGTGTGAGGTCGGCTAACAATAAGTTAAGTATCCCCTATCCAAGGCAGGGCCTGCTGGAAAGCTTTAGCAGGCCCAGGACGAAACGCATCCCTTCCTTGCGTCCATATAACTGCTACCATCATAGCAAGATGGCAGTCAGGATACAAAATGCCACGGCAGCATCATAGGAATCACAAGTACTACGTAACAAATCCCATAGGGGGAGGGGATCCCCCATATGTATATTCGATATTGCTAGAGAGTTTCTCCTTGATATAATGAACAAAGGTAGAGAGATTAATTTTGGATTAACATAAATATACAAACGAATCTTTTTCGTTAGAATAGATACTCCATGCATCCTCCTTCCGGTGAAATGCAAAATTCGCAACTGCGAATTATAGATCGACGCGTTTAAATATTTCCTTGGGATTTCCTAGTCGTCATAAGTCGAGATTCTTCTTCCTAACGAGTTAACTTCTTTGGAACTAATTTGAAACTCCGCAACCCTCTAACTAGAGTTTGCGAATTCGCGAATGAATTTCCTGACAGAATTCGCTTCTTCTTTCGCGTTTTAGTTGCCTTTCAGAATAATACTTTCCGGCTGATCACAGTGATTTAATGCGTTATTGTTCCTATCCACGTGTCTCCTTCGAATTGTCATTGTGTTACTATTTTACTCGTATCTGTTGCGTGTATGTTGGGTAAATAGATTGTTGATTAATAAACAATTGAATAATAAATAATTCTGCGACTTCAAATGTCCTTGCAAGAAGGAATTCAAGAGAGGTGATTATGGTAACCTCAAGCTAACTCTTAAGTTATGATTGCTATTAAAATATTTTCGTAAAGAATATGAAGGAGCATCATCTGATATAATAAAAAGTATATGATTCCATTTAAAAAAATATTAATGACCTTCATATGTCCTTTACACATTCATCTACGAAAACAATAGTACCATCAGAATATGCCTTTCTGAAAATCAGACAATTTCAACCGAAACATTTTTCGCTATGCGTAATAATAATGACGTATATCTAGATGGCAATATGTGGTGACCCACCCTGTATAGTATTATCTGCACTTTTCAAACACCCTGTAGATCGGTTTTCTTTCAAAGCAGCAGGTTATCTTTGTAGCTGTAGGAGGTGCAATTGATTAAAGGAGCACGAAACTGTGTCTCAATATCCATTCAGATTCTTGACCTTTTCCGAAGAGAAAAACCCTCGTGGATCGTGCTCGAGATTTCAAGGCCGTTTGATGGGAGATTTCAGAGCGTAACAAAGAAGCAGATATATATATACGCAGAGGGAAAACTTTTTAGCGAATTGACGTTAATGGAGATTACTCGGTCATAAGATAAAAGGATTCGTCTGTTTGCGATAGGGGTAAACGACTTTTGCGATTTAAACAAAGTCTGCAGACTTAGAAGGGGGGATGTTTCGAGGGCTTATCTGATATATAAATCGTAGATAACAGCGACGTACACGTAGATACGCTTTAAGTCCCGGTTTGCGTCAAGTGCTTTGATCTTCAGCAAATGAAGACGTCAGAGATATCGCAATCCGTGCCATTTCCACGAACGAGAAAGTAACATTGCGCAAATTTCGCGTCTCTCGATTCGAAATTTGCCATTCATCGTCAGACCTTCGTCACTCGACTACCCCGTGTTTCTTTTTCAATTTATAACGAGAAAGTAACATTGCGCAAATTTCGCGTCTCTCGATTCGAAATTTGCCATTCATCGTCAGCAGACCTTCGTCACTCGACTACCCCGTGTTTCTTTTTCAATTTTGCGATCGAATCTCGATAACTGGAACTTCGAAAAAGGAGTTGCGAATTTTTATTTTGCTCCAAACTCGCTTTAAATTTGCTTCAAATTCGAATTATCGAGGTTCTCTCTTTCAAAGCTCTTCTCTCGTTCTCTCATCCATCGGTCACTTGACCAGTACCGGACACTCCATTCCCACGATCCACTTTCATACAAGAAACATCGATCAAGAGAGCCAAAGTATTGGCAGGAACGGAAGGGCCTAAATCGCGACACGCTATGAAGAGAATTTTGCCGATAAACGGAATTATTACGATTCACGGATCCTGAAACTTTGCCAGAATTAATCTACCCGGCGTTTAGACCCGTTTCCACTGGCCTTTTCGCTCGCACGAAATTACGTGCTAGTCAAGAGAGTCGGAAGCGAGACGGTATAGCGAGTTCAAGGCTCGATCGATCTCCGTGCAGCTCCGTTTAATCGTTGTCTC